TATAAAAGACGGACCCCAGGACGGCCTGAGGCAGTGCTCTGAAGACTGAAGACCGGCTAGGCTGGGACCCTGGGACCCCGGGACCCTGGGACACGACGTCCTTTTAAGCGGCGGGGCCGAGCACGGACCAGTGGTCGAGACCTGCACCTTGGCTGGGTCGGGTCAGCATAGCCTCCCCTAGGCCACCCTTAGTTGGAGGACTCAGAGCCCGTAGCCCCAGTGATAGGGCACGTTAGCCCGGAGGCCATACCTCCCCAAGTAGTGGGAGTAAAAGGGGCTTATGTTATAAGATTTAAATAAACCGTGTTGCCTCTAAGCTACGTCTCCAGTCTCCGTGGGAACCCACTACATATACACAAGAAATGCTGTTCTACACATAACGGCCATGCCACGTTTCAGTTCAAAGTAACGCTGCAGTACGTGCACAGGCTATGCTCCTTTACTCTGTATTATACGGCACACACTTTCATGGTGTTGTGTACACGGTATATGATGCGTTACACATAGGCCGTGCTGTATTATAAACTCCGTTCAAAGTATCAGTTTATATGTAGCCAATGCCACTGTACAAAGACAAAGATCCCCCTCATAGCTTTAACAGATTTTTGAGGCAAGTGGTGTTAGTGAGCGCCTAATGAGGACTGGCACAGTACACAGGGGAGTGGGTGGCCAACACCACGCCCAGCCGCATTTGTCTCCCTCGTGGTGATGTGTACACACTGCATCAGGTACTCATTTGAGGTTGAGTCGACCAAGGGGAGGCCCAGGACCGGTTCAGATATTTCCCACTTTTATACCGGTAGGAACAACAGGTTCCACACTGCCCACCAGGGATTATTTGTCTGTCGTGCATGGGAAGGGGAGGGTGGGGGTGGGAGGGGTGGGGCTGGGTGGAGAGGGGAGGGTGGGGAGGGGCTGGGGGAGGGTGGGGAGGGGCTGGGGGAGGAGGGAAGGGGCTGGGTGGGGAGGGTGGGGCTGGGTGGGGAGGGTGGGGTTGGGTGGGAGGGGTGGGGCTGGGTGTGGAGGGGCTGGTCACCCCGTGGTGCCCTTCTAAAACTCAACGTTTAACCTACACACTCCACTATACACGACACAATACACTACACTTATACAAGTGTAGTGAGTTATCAGGGAGACAGACGACGTAGTTGAGGCACACTCTTTTATTTAACCAAAAGGCGGTAACATTACTTGAAGGGGTAACGGCGCCTTCACCCGTACTCAATGGGAAACACCCCTAGTACTATCCCCTGACTTCTCCTATTCCCAGTCCTCCGCTATGAGTGCTAGGGGAGGCTATCTGATCCGGCCCTGGTCAAGCACGGATCCCGGCACCCAGCTAACCAGGCCGTGCTCTTACAAGAGCAGCGGTCCTGGAGCTCTTGGGGCCGCGCCACTTGCCCTGCTCGGCCCTGACAAGGACAGCGAGCCAGGGGAGTTCCAGGGCCTATTCTGCCGGTCTTCAGTCTTCAATGGTAAGCTTCTCACACATTGGCCTCGAGCCCTCTGGCTCCCCGCCTTTTATAAGAATCCTCTCCGAGGGGTGGGGCTATGGGGGATCACAGCACCCCCATGCCCCCCCAGGGTTAACTGATGGTGGGGGGGGGAGTGCAATCTCTGCTGTAGCAGGAAGTTGGAACGGTGTCGTGCGCATCTCTTTACAGAGCGGAGGCGGCGCTGCCCCCATCCTCCGCGCTTGCCCAGGCCTAAATGGCTGACGGTTGTTGTGGAGGAAGAGGAGACTCCGGTGGAGGAGCTGTTGGTGCAGGAGGAGGAGACCCTGGTGGAGGAGCTGGTGGTGCAGGAGGAGGAGATCCTGGTGGAGGAGCTGGTGGTGCAGGAGGAGGAGACCCTGTTGGAGGAGCTGGTGGTGCAGGAGGAGGAGACCCTGGTGGAGGAGCTGGTGGTGCAGAAGGAGGAGACCTTGGTGGAGGAGCTGGTGGTGCAGGAGGAGGAGACCCTGGTGCAAGAGCTGGTGGTGCAGGAAGAAGAGGAGATGAGGGGGGAGACAGAGGAGTTATGGACGAAGGAGCAGGAGGATGAGATGGTGGTGCAGGTGGAGGAGACATTGGTGGAGAAGATGGTGGAGAAAGAGATGACAAGGAAAGAGGATCAGGTGATGATGCAGGAGGAGAAGAGGAAGCGAGGGAGTCTGGCCCGCATAGGGAGAACCATCCGTTCACTCCTCCGACTCGTGCTGCTGTGTGGTAGCCGGTCCACCACACAGTAGAGGTGGCTCTGGAATAACCCCCCAACCCCTCACCTGGGGTCGGGGGGGGGAACTCGGCCTCTCAACGGTCCCGGTTCTCTCTCTAACTCAGGGTGGCACCCCCTGTCGACTCGTGCCCGCAACTACAGGTGGTGTGTGCTTTGCATTTCCGACGCTACATATACAGCAAGAAATACTCTACATATGTAATAACAGCCATAGAGGGTTCACGTGGGGATTGGCTTGCCGGTCCTGCTTTGTAGCCAATAAGGGTTGAGATAGGGAGCATGACCCCGGCGTGATCACGGCATGTCATCAGGAGTGATTGGCCTAGCCATTCGGGGCCCCAGCTAATGGGGAGCCGGATGAGAGGCGTGGTCCCGGGATTGACAGGGAACCATCGAGAATGGTCAAGGCTGTCCATGGAGGATTGGCTGGGGGGACCACGTGATGGAAGGATTAAGAGAGAGTGAGAGAGAACGATCGGGAGCAGACTGGGGAACGAACAGAGCCACGCACGTACGGGGGCTCTGGGTGCCACGTGCGCGGTGGGAACTGGTGTGAAGTCTGCCCGCTCTCTGTTGTCTGCCAGCAACAGAGAGTGTGTGAGTAAAGTGTATTGTGGAAGTGAAAATAAAGAGGACCGATTCCGAAGCCGTCTCAGAAGGATTATTACACGTAGAGAGAGCATTGCATCTGTGTGTGTGTACTGCATGACACACGGTGTTCGGTGTGTAATGCACAGTGATGGGCTGCTGCTGCTGCACCTTTTGACGTTGATGTCGGGGCAGGCAGAGTCCTCGCTCCGGGTTCCGGTGGCGTTGCTCCGGGGGAACGTGCAGAAGAAGGCGTTGGCCAGGAGGCAGGCGGCCTGCGCCTGAGACATCGTCAGCATCAAGCCGGTGTCCCGGCGGAGCAGCGGCAGGGGCTGGGGACACGTGCGGTGCACAGGGCGCAGCGACGTTACACGCGGCAACGGGTGGCACGGGGTTGCAGAGGAGCAACGGCGTAATGGTAACACCGATGCAGAGCACTGATCCTGCACCACTGGGATGCTGGGGTCTGGATCAAGGAGTTCTGAAATGCACGTAAACCAGATTATTGTTGTGCACGTGAGGTTGATGGTGCAGCCCTGCAATTACTTGCTCATGCAACTGCTGGTGAAAGAACCCCCACTAGAGGGAGGTCTAGAGTGCCGATCCGGTGGGTATGTTTTGGCCAACTTTTCCACACTGACCATATGTCTTGAAAGAGGTGGGAGTACTCGCCATTTAGCCCATTGCACGCGACCCACTGATGGACTGTGGGTGGACAAAAACAGGGAATTGTAAGAATCCTGGTCAATGTTTTCAAGGCCAGGCTGGGAGATCGAACCGCGACATTTTAAGTCAATCGTGACAACCATTCCACAGTCATGGCAGCAGCCCTTTTGCAGAAATCAAATAAAATATTGGAGAGGGCTTCACACAAGAAACAAGAAGATTTAGTGGTTTGGACGTGGCTCTCCAATGAATACAGAGAGGGTACCACAAGTAGCGGTGCATACTCGGGCGCAAGGAAATAGAAGCAGAGACAAAGAATGAGATAGATCGATGCAATAAAAAATTGGCAGTGGTGCACCAAGCACGACCCCTTGCTGAGCGCTGCAGCAGCAGCCCCCCCCCATCTCCGGACCCCTCCCCCCACCCTCCACTTCTCACCCTGACGCCACACAACCCGTGGGTAGGCGATTCCCTCTGGTGGACAAGGCGCGGTACAGGCGGCAGCACGAGACGCCAGCAGCGTTGCGCTGCCAGGGTTACTCACCCGAACACCTCCGTACACTTACACACCTACACACACCTCTATACACTTACACACACCTACACACACACACCTCTACACACTTACACACCTACACACACACACCTATACAACAACAACCGCCATTCGCCACTAAGTGGCGGTGACGTCACCACGACGCTTGTACCAGGCCAAGTGCACCTTGAGGCCACGTGAAGTGTCGAACGCCCGCTGGCAGGAGGTCAGGGGGCAGACCCAGCAGGTGCCACGGGTTGACTGACCGAGATGACCGAGATGACTGGCTGATGCACCACCTGTGCCCCCTACCGTACCAACTTGCTGTGCTTTAGCCACCCGGCGCTCCGCTCGTTGTTCTGAGCGTCGCTCCTCCGCCCTCCGTTGTTGTTGGAGGGCGACTGCCTCCAACTGCCCAGTAGCGTCCTTCACGAGCCTCCTCCACTGAGGCCGATCTTGACACTGCTGGTACCAGTCATCGGCAAGTCCACTCAGCTCCACGTCCTCCTGTACCACATCACTCCATCTCTTCTCTAGCCCGTGCCGCGCCCGTTTAGCCCCCTCGATCCGGCCGAACAAAAGCTGTTTAGGCATGCGGTAGCTGGGCATGCGGGCTACATGACCCAGCCAACGCAGCCTTGCCTGCCGGAGGAGCTCACCGATGGGACTTTGCCCAGATCTTTCAAGGATTTGTGAGCTCACACAATCCAGCCTTGTTAAACCCAGGATGGATCTTAGGCAGGCCAGCCTAAATGTTTCCCACCGGTGAAGATGCTCCATTAGGGGGGTCCACGTTTCGCAAGCGTAGAGAAGGGAGGGAATGACCGTGGCCGAGAAGACCTAAAGCTTCGTGCGGAGCTACAGATCAGGTAGCTTCCACACAGCGTTACGCAACCGATGAAAAGATAATGCCGCTCGACTGATTAGGAGTGAGACCTTGGCTGATAAACTGGAGCCGGTCATAAGCACACTGCCCAGGTATGAGAAACTCCACTCTCTCCACAACTGCCCCATCACCGATTGGGAGTTGTGGGGGTGGAGTGTCCGATGGTACAAAATACCCAGGCAGGTGCTTAGTTTTGGTGGGGCTGATGGTAAGGCCCCACCTCTTAGTGGCACGCTCCAGTCTCAGCAGCAGCGTCTCGAACTCCTCTTCTGAATGAGCAGCTATTACCAAATCATCGGCATACATAACGTGGTTGACCAATAGGGAGCCATCCCTTGATCGCACCCGGGCGTCGATCAGCCTCCCATTATATCTGTACCAAATGGAAATGCCCCCGGTACAGCTATTGAAGGCTTCACGAACTACGCAGTCGAAATAGATGTTAAATAATGTGGGAGCCAGAGGACATCCCTGTCGCACCCCAAGGTGTACAGGGAAAGGCTCCGACTCCCGGCCACGTAGTTTTACCCGGGCCCGCTCACCATCATGAAGGTCCTTAATGATCGTGAGCAGAGGGTCAGGGACTCCGAAAGCACGAAGAACAACCCAGAGCCCAGGCCTACTGATGGTATCATAGGCCTTGACCAGGTCAATAAAGCAGAGATGAAGGTCTTGTTGGAATTCCCTACACCTCTGCTGTAGCAGATGGACAGAAAATATGGCATCTGTACAGGACCGCCCTTTCTTGAAACCGCATTGGGGTTCCGCAAGCCTCTCCTCAGCGTGCCTAGCAAGGCGATGTTGAATAATCCTTGCCAGGACCTTTCCCGGCACACTGAGGAGTGAGATGCCACTGTAGTTGTTACAGTTTGTGCGGTCCCCCTTCTTAAAGAGGGGGACCACCAGGGCATCCTTCCAATCCTGCGGTACCCGTCCAGCGGTCCAGACTGTTGTTATGATGTCATATAAGGCAATCTGTGCACAAGCGCCACCCTCCCTCAGCATTTCGCTTGGGAGATCATCTCTGCCCGGTGCCTTTCCTGGTCTCAGACTCCGGATCGCCTTCAGTACTTCCTCAACAGATGGCACCTCAGCCAGCCACTCACAGGGGGTGACTTCCTCCAATATTTGAGGCACCGCAGCCTCAGCAGGGTTATCCCCACTTTGTGCCATGATGTTTTCCTGGCTGAGAGATTTTCCCTCCCCCAGGACCTCACACATACCTATATACACTTACACACACACCTCTATACACTTACACACACACCTCTACATACACCCCTCTATACACACCTCTATACACTTACAAAGAACCCCCGTATAGCCTTTAACAGACAGTTGGGGCAAGTGCTGTTAGCGAGCACCTATGAAGGCCGGAACGGTACACGAGGGGGTGGGTGGCCAGCACCACGCCCGACCGCCTTTGTCTCCCTAGTGACAATGTTTACACACCGCACCAGGTACTCATTTGAGGCTGAGTCGACCTAGGGGAGGCCCGGGACCAGTTCAGATAATCGTCACAGGTGTTGGCCTTGAGCGGGAATCGAACTCGTGTCGCCGGGTTCATAGCGCAGCGCGCTAACCGCTGCACTATCGCTCCCCACTTACATATGAAGTACCGGTGAAGACACTTGACGCCGAGGTGGAGGCACACGGATATTTATTCAACACAGCTCGTATGTGACATACAGCACTGGAGGGGGTATCGGCCCCCTCACCCGACTAGCTAAGGATACACTTCCTAGCTAAGTCCTAGCCTGCCTCACAGTCCTCCACTACTGGGCTAGGGGAGGCTACTTGGCCCGACACTGGTAAGTCGGGCCGGTACCCGGAGTCCCAGACCAGCTCTTAGAAGAGCACCGGCTCTGGCTTTCGGGACCACGCCGCTGGCTCAGTCCTGTTCGGCCCTGATAAGGACATCGAACGAGGGGAGTCCAGGGCTCTATCTAAGACGTCTTCAGTCTTCTTAGTTAACTATAACATAACTGACTCGAGCCCCTATAACGTCCCCTTTTATACCCAACCCTCCTTGAGGGGTGGGGCCCCGGGGGATCATAACGCCAAACCAGCCCCCCCCAGGGTGTCTGGCTCGGACGTCGCAGAGGGCATCTCCCTGTGCACACACGTAGCCCCGCCCACTGTGTCTGTTTCTCATAGACTGCCATACATAACGGGCCCTCACTTTAACACCCCTACATCACCCCCCCCCCGCATAGCTTGCAGCCGTCCCGGCTGCCAACATACAAAATGACAATAAAAATGAATTTTTACCGTAACCGCGCGTGTGCCTCACTAATTTTCAACAATAACAAGAACGGCAACAAGAACACAAAAAAAAATGCAACAGCAAGAAGGGAAAACAACCCGACGCACCCCCCCTTGAATAAATACGAATTCCGTAAGAAAACAAGCTATATACAATTTGCAGGGAAGCCACCATACACACAACACCCGGTGAGCACAACGTATGTAAATTCAATGGGCAGGGAACACACCCCCCCACACAACACACAATGAACACAACATATATACACATCTTGCGGTCTCACAACAGTCTGCGCATTTTTGCGCGTATCCTTGCGGCGGGCCCCTCACACGGGGAAACCCCGGGTGGCGGACCGTCAGGTGGTAATCGTCTGTCCCGGAGTGAGACCTCCTCTGATGCCGCGTGACCGTTGGTATCCCCAGAAGGGGTGGTCGGGCGTGAGCCCGTCAGTCTCGATGCACCTGGAGGTGGCACGGCCGGCAAGGCATTAGGTGAGCGCGGCGGAGACGGACCTAGTGAGTCGGTCGACCCCCCACACGTCTGGCCACGCATGTGTGAAGTGGGTTTGTGTACCGCGACGAAGGGTTTCAACCGAGAGGGGTGCACGAACCATCGCCGCTTCCCCCATCGAATGCGCACGCACTGTGGTCGCAAGACCTCGACCACTTCCACAGGGCCCCGCCACGGCCGCGCCAGCTT